TGGAGGGAATGGCTGCCAGCTGGGGCCCAAGCCTGCTGGGACAACGCCTTCTATCTTTGCTATTTCAAAAGGCCAAAAGGCAGCCACACTGTGACCTCAGCAGACCCTCTCAGTGCCCTCTGTGAACCCCATGGGACGCGTGGGGAAACAGGCTCCGCAACTTGTGGAGGGTCTAAACGGCAAGACCAGAACTAGGAGCAGGCCCACAGCTCTTCCCATGACACTGCCCTGTCCCAGCCAAATCAACACCTTGCCCGGTGGTAGATTTGAGGGGCCCCCAAGTAGCTCTTACTGGAGAACAGTGACAAAGAGGTTAAGCAGGAAGTTAGTTACTTCCTTATTTGCTCCCAAAATACTGAGAACCCCAGAGATGTGTACGTAGGAGTTGGGGATATAGTGATATAGAGTGTATAAAATACGCTCTGTATTTTATAACCTGTCTCAAATATTTTTTACAGGAGTGTCTTGTATTTGTTTCAATAAAAATATGTAATCATATAAAGGTTTGAAACGAGGCCTTGAGCACCTGCTGGGTGCGGCTCCCTGGATGCACTCACCCGCCTCTCTGCTCCTGAGGCTGCAGGCTCTGAGGCACCCTGGCTATGAATCCCTCTCCCCCTCCTCAGCTGGGTGACCTTCGGCAAGTGACTTCCCCTCTCCAAGCCTCAGTTTCCTCATCTGTAAAATGGGGGTACTGCGAGCCTCTCACAGGGCTGCTGGGAGGATCCAACGGGATCTCAGGCATACGAAGTCCTTTGCACAGCGCCTGGCCTGAACTCAGTCAATGTTGACCAAACCAAACACGTTGTCACTGAGTCAATTCTGACTCATGGTGACCCATGTGTTACAGAGTAGAATTGCTTCATAGGGTTTTCTTGGCTGTAAAGTTTATGGAAGCAGTTCGCCAGGCCTTTCTTCTGTGGCACCACTGGGTGGGTTCGAACCACCAATCCCTTGATTCGTTGTCAAACACAAACCATTTGCACCCCCCAGGGAACTTCTGTCAATGTTAGCAGAAGGAATTGACTATTATCCTCCTAGGCCCACCTGGCAGGGAAAGCAGGATCTGCTGGTGTAGATTTCTGGAAGGCTATCCTCCTTCTCCAAGGTTCCATATTTCCCATGTTCCAGACTCAAGTTGCCCCAATCCCTAGGTAACACATGCAAGGAAACTGAGACAGCTAGGACCAAGTCTGCAGTGCCTGGCCAGGCGTACTTGGATCTCAGAGATAGCCCCCAACTCTTCTCTCTGCCCTGGAACTAACAGACAGAAAGCAGATGCGCTCAGGCCCCAGCTTTCTCCCAACTGGCACCCCTCCCCTGGCGATCCCCATGGGCACCTCTGCTCCAACCTACCTTCCCGTCAGGAAGGGCAGAGGCTCCTAAAAGGGGACGGGCCTATTCCTCACCCAGCGGGAGGGAAGCAAGCAGCCCTTCCCCAGCCTGCTGCCGTGCCTGAAATGCCGCCATTCGTGCATCCTTCTCCCAAGTTAGTCACTGCCTCTTTCCTGGGGTGGTGCCCTCAGTCCCTCAGAGCCAAAGGGAGGGGTCACAGGGGATGGGTGACAAGAGGGTATGGGACCCACTAGGGGAAGTGGACAAGTGAGAAGCAGTGTGTTTCTTTGTCCACAGGGAGCTTCCCTCAACAAGGATAAAGGCGGCCCCAAGTGGCAACTGGGAACAGGGCTCCGTTGTCTCTGTTCTTGCCCACCCCCACGAGTATCAGGCAGAGCTGGGAGCCAGGGAGGCGAGGGGGAGGGGTCCTGAGCTGGGGTTTGAGGGTGGCCCTGGCAGATCCAAGAGGCTAAAACCCCAGGAAGACAGGTGCTGGGCAGGACTGGAGTTCTGAGATGGGGCCGAGGGGTTGGGGAGTCAACTCAGCCACCTCTGAACTACGTGACCTTGGGCAAGTTGCCAAGTCTGCCTGAGCCTCAGTTTCCCTGCTGGATACTGGGGAAAGTAGCAATGCCTCCTTCTCAAGACTGCTAGGGGAAGCAGACACTGCTAGGAGGTACAGGGCAGTGTGGGGACTCTCCGGCCCCAGCCTCCTGTGTGGCCCTGGACAAGCTTCACCCTCTCTGGGCCTCAGGTTACCTTCTGGTAAGGGAGGAGATTGGATTCTCCCAAATGGACAGCCCTCCGCCCTTCCCTCTCCTCCTGAGGATTTCCATGGCACCTGTCAGTCACCATGGCAACCCGGGATCAGGTGTCAGGCCTGCTGCCCTCCCTCCTTCTCTCCCTCCCACTGGTGTGGGTGACAGCAGCCAGATGTGCACCCATCACCTCTCCTGCTTTGGGCAGCTGGGGAGGGGGTCCTCCCTGGAAGGGGCCACAGTTCTGCTCTACATTCAGCTCTGCTGTTACCAAGTGCTGGCCTGGCACTAGGAGCAGACTCGGCAGGACCCTCTTCCTGGGTGCTGGCTCAGGGAGCAGGGGACCGCTGGGATTTCCTACAGAGCCTTCCTGGATACCAGAGCTATCCCATTGCCACTGACACCCCCATATGCCTCTCTCCAGTGACCTCCTCCTTCTGGGGTACAGGACAGGGCCTGTCCCTTACTCCAGTCCCTAGCCTCTGCTCTGACCATGGCCCTCTTCTGGGGAGGGTTGGCGGGGGTGGGGGGGGTAGACATCTCGGCCCCTCCCCCTCCAGGGCTGAGGCCAATTGCTCAAGCAGATTAATCATTAACAGACTCCAGCTCAAGCCCTGTTTCTCCAGACCCACCCACCCCAACTCCAGGGACTCAGGAAACTCTGGAAAAGGGGGCTGTGGGGAAGAAACCCAGGGCAGGGGAGCACCAACCTGTGCCCTCCCTGGCCGTGGCCACCCACCCTCCGGCAGCGAGCAGGGGCGCCCAGTCCTGCTGCAGCAGCGCGGCACCCCCAGTTCTTTCGTCCATCCTTCCAGACTCCATGTCCACCTGAGGTCTGACGCACAGGGCCCCAGTGTGGGGCTGAGGTAGTGTGGATGGGACTAATGAGATGAGGCGCAGCCTGGCGGGGAGTGTCGGGCGCCCGGACTTACCTTGTTCCCTTCCTCCTCGGGCTCAGCGCGGCTGGCTGGGCCCGGGCCGCGCCGCCCGGGCGCTAACTGAGCAGCGGGCGCACCCGCCAGGCCCCCAGTCCGCCAGGCCTGGGCCCTGCCCCGCCGTCCCTGCTGCCGGCCAGGTGTGGCCACCGGCCTGGCCCTGCCCCCGGCGCCGCAGCCAATGGGCACCCCGGGCCCCGTGGTCCTCGGCGCCCGCCCGGGACGCACAGAAGCCACATTCAGCGCGCCAGGGCGCAGCGCCGCGCCCCCGCCGCCAGCCCAACAAGGCGCGTTTGTCTTGGGCGCGCCAACGGGGCCATTGTCCCACCGCTGATCCCCCAACCCGGGAGGGGGCTCGAGGTGCCTGGGAAACGGGGTGGGGAGGATGCAGCGGGTCTCTGGGAAAAGGAGGCGGCCTGCTTAACTTTTGTTGAGGGTTCTGGAACCCTCTGAGGGTCCAATGAAAGGTATGGAGCCTCTTGATGGGAAATCAGTGTGTGTGTGTTGGGGGGGCGGCACACATTTTTGGCATCCACGAGGGAAAGGGTGCCAGGATCCTGAGAAGCACGCAGGACTTCACTCCCAATAGGGTACCATTTGGAGGTCCCAGCTGCCCTGCCTTTCCAGGGCACCCACCCGGCCGAGCAGGGCTGTCAGGATGCAGATGACCATCCAGGACCCACCTCCTGGTCCAGGCCCAGCTTTCCTCCTTCACCCACTGAGCAGGACCAAGCGCGTGGACTAATGTCCGGCAGAGCTGGGGATGCTCTGCTCCAGCTGTGGGCAGTGCAGAACCAGCTAGCCACCCAGAGGGCATGGGCCACGTCAGAGCCCTGCTGCCCCCGCCATTACTGGGCGACTATGGAATGGGGAAAATTCTACATCAGCATAGCTGCCAGGGATTTTTCCGTATCTGATGGTTCTGCTCTCTGGTCTTGCCTTGGTGCTCCTGCCCCAAGCCTGGGATGTACTTTTGTCCCCCAGGGCAGAAGGCTCTGGCGCCAGAAGCCCTGACCCTGTCCCAGCCTCCTGAAGCACCCCTCCCCCAATGGGCATGCCGGGAATAGACATGGGACATAGCCCTCCATGTACACCAAGGCCCAGCTGAAGCTGGGGGCCCAAGGCTCTCTGCTCCCCAGGCCAGAGCCTGCTCAAGTTCTTGTAGCCACTGCTCCCTGAAAAACACTTCTACCCATGAAGCAAGGACAGTGTAGGGCCAAAGCTCTGGGGTGCTTAGATTCAGGGAAGGCAGGGCCCAGTTCCAAACCTATACTTCCCCATCCTGGACCCTGCTCTCAAGGGCACTAAGCCCCCCAGTGGCACCCTGGGTTCAGAAGCTCCCTGCCCGACCAGGGAAGGGCTGGGAATGAGCATCTGAGCTCTGAGGTCTAACCCTGGCTGTGGCATGCTACAGTCCCAGCAGTGGCACTGTGGGGGACAGGCAGGAAGCTCCAAGGCCTGACAGGGTCACAAGTTAGGCTGTTGGCAAAGCTCACACTGGGGTTACTCAGCAGTTCTGCCATGAGGGAAAGCCAGGTTCCCCAACTCAAGACTCAGATTGGAGCGCCAGATCCTTCCATTGCCGGCTTTTACCTCCTGGGTTCAGCAGGAAGCTGAACAGTTGGAGTGCACCGAGCACTCACAAGACGTGTGACAGTGCTGAGCCTATATATCATCTCTGAACCCCCGATACGTGCGTCCCTATGAGGGAGGCTCTGGAATTCCTACCCGTATTTTACAGATGAGAAAACAGGATCCCCAGAGGAAAACGCCTAGGCTGGATGTGAACCAGGGTCACAGTGACAGAGAAGCCCAAGCCCAGAAGCTCTGTGCCAAACTCCTGGCAGCCTTGGACCTAGAGGGGTCCTTGGAAACTCAGAGGCCTGAGCAATGACTGGGCCCTTCTGACAAATACCCAGGGCTGGCCCAGCCTGCCACACGGGGCACTCTGTGACTCTTCTCTAACCCCAGGCAAGTTCATGAACACAGAATCCAACTGGCTGCAAAACTACAGCTGTTTAATCAATGCTCCCCTCATGCCCACCTCATCACAGCACCCTGGGCTGGGGAAAGTTATCGTGATGAACGGCTGGCCCCCTGCTCCCCAGGTCACTGACTCCTGGGAGCACCAAATCGGGCTTGGCACCAGAGGGGGCCCAGGCTGGCAGAGGAGCGAGGGGGAGAACTAAAGCAGCCTAGGCTCTCTGGCCTGTCTTCGTCATGTCTGGCCGCTGGGAGCTGGCCCTGGCCCAGCTAGGGGCTGCCAGCACTCACACCGGCCTTGCCTTCTTGGCCTTCTTCCCCGATCTCACAGCTTCATCGTGGGCTTTCCGCTTCGCCGCCAGTTTGTTGGCCTATGAGGAGGAAACGGGGAGAGGGATCAGGCTGTGGTGTGTGTGTTGGAGGGGAGACAAATTACCCTGTGAAAAAACTTCACATGAACATCAGGTTGCCTTACAACTCCTTTACTTTATGGGCCCAACACCTCGGGTCAGGAGGCTCACAGGAGCCTGGGCGGCTGCCCCACTTGCTCCCTGCAGCTGGGAAAGCTGGGACGTCCTTGGAACCTTCCTTCACCAGGTGCTGGTGGGGCTGCAGCCTGGAACTCTCCCTGCCCCAGAGCCATTTGGCATGATCTGCTAGGAAATGCCACAGGCCTTTCAACCCAGCAGTTCCACTCTGAAGAACTCACCCTGCAGGGACATCCTCGAGGATGCTTTCTAAGAATGAGACTGAAGGTGGAAAGCAGACCCTACCAGCAGGGGACAGGCTATGTATTGTGTGTGGATACGGAAAGGTGGCCACGATTATTGTTAAATGAAAAAGAAAAACACAAACGTGCACACATTTGGACGCCTTTAAAATGATATCCGAGTTACTGCATGCACAAAAAACAAAAGAAACCCAGAGGCTCTGGCTCCAGCGCCAAGGGGAGGACTGAGGGCCACTTCCAGGCCATCCACTATAGAGTTCTGGGGTGCAAGACTTTTTTTTTTTTTTTAATACAATGAGCTTATATGGCTTTCTAAACAAAAAACAAAATAGAAGCTTAACAAAAACCTTCCCAGCCCCTCCTATTTGCTTCACTTCTATTAAGTGGCCTTTGTCAAAGCAGGTTCAGATTCTGTCCCACAGAACCTGGCAAACTCAGGAACAGCCGGGGGCAGGAAGGGGAACTGAAGCCCTGAGAAGGGCCGGGCCAAGCAGGTAGCCTCAGAAAAAGAGCTAGCTGGCCTCCAAGCGCACCTGGGCTGCAGTGCCTGGCGGCCACACCTAGAGTCTCAGGCCAGGGGAGGGTGACAGGGATCTACCTCTCGGACTTTGCGCCTCTTGCCGAACATGATCTTGCGATAGAGGTACTTCTCCCTCTTCTTCATCATCATGATAGCCAGCCGCTTGGCCTCACTCTCCTCCTCCTGGGCCAGCCGCTGCTTGTCCTCCAGCTTCACGGTGCCTGCCATCACCCTGGGCTTCTGGGGACACAGGGCGAGCGTTGTGGGTACCCCGCCCCCACCAGCCCTGAGGGCTGGCACCAAGATGGCCAACGGGGCTGCCTCCCAGGTTGAGCCCATCCAGTGCCCCACGTACCTTCCCCTCCATCCTCTGCTCCTCCAGGGCCGCCAGGCGGGCCTCCTCCTCCTTTTCCAAGGCAGCCTCTGCATCCTCCTCCTCCTCATTTTCTCCCCCTTCCTCCTCCTCGTCATCTTCATTGTTCTCCTCCTCCTCCTCCTCCTCCTCAGATTCATTCAAGTTTCCTATCAATAGCCGAGGATTTCTGAATGGCCTAGGAGCCCACTCTTGCCCTTGCAGGGTGAGAACTAGCTCCAGGCACTGCTCTCTTTCGTCCTGCCATCCTCAGCCACTGGGACATTCCTAAGGCAGTTCTGGGCTGTACTACTGCAGCCCTTCTGGTACCCGCCTCCCCCAGTCCCAGCTGCCTTCTGAGGAAACCCCAAGCTCCCTAACTACTGAGCTCTGCTGCCTCCTGTGTAAAAAACAATCACGACAATTCCCGATCATTCTTCTGCTGAGTTACTTTGAATGTCAAATAACAATATCGGACACAAATGTTCATTTTTCCTAAACCTGACTCCGAAGGGGTAAAAACCCTAGTGAAAACTTGTGGCTTTGCTGGGTTGTTCCCTGGAGCATGCTACCTTTGTAGCCAAGAAAGGAAGGAGCCTGCTCAGGCCGAGGCCAAGGCCAGCTCAGACGAGCCTGTCCACCAGCTACCCAGCCCAGTCCCTCCCGCTCACCTGGGTCCTCTCCCCGCTGCAGGGCCAGCAGCTTCAGCTTCTCGGGTGGGATGTAATCACCCTCCTTCTCGGAGATAAATGGAGAGAGGTGTGGGGGCAGAGGCACTCCGGGGAAGTAGTCCTCCACAGGGAGGAGGAGCCGGGCGTTCACGGAGTCAAACACCCACTGGGGCTGCACATAGTACCTGGCATGCAGTGGTGAGCAAAGACCAGTCATGGGGCAACCCGAGGGCCCACTGCACCCACAGGGGCCTTCATGACAGACTTCTACGCCCAGAAACCCGGAAAGGTGGCAGAAGGGAGGGCCTTGGGGGCCTACCTGCCAATGATGGGGGTCTGCTGCCCAGGACGGTCTACAATCTGGTGGGTGATGCAGGAGTCCGTGATGTCGTAGGTGGCCCCAATGCACAAAGACTTGTCCCAGGACACATCCCCCCCAAAACTCCTACAGGCAGAAGGAGCATCCAAGGGTGCTTGGCATGAGCTGCATGTCATGGGCCTGGCTGCCTGGGGCCCCTGGCCACGAGCTCACAACCTCACCCTCCTAGGACACACTTACCCCCTGACCCCCCAGTATTCCTCCTGTCTGTGCTGACACCCCCAGCCCCATTCCGGCTGAGCCCTTCTGCCCTCGGCCTGACCTTCTGTAATGGAGTGTTGGCGGCTGTGCTTGGTGCTATGCCAAATGCTTTCTAAGCACCGTCTGCACCATTTTGATGAATCCTTACATGAAGCGGCGTCTGACCCATCCGAATGTACTGATGAGCACCCAGGGCTGCCCAGGCTGTGGCAGGCCCAGAGCAGAGCATGGCACAGCCCAGTGCTCTTGTCCTCCCCACCTGATGATGAAGGCCAGGGCCTCGCGGGGCACCTCACGGTTCAGGAAGAACTTCAGGCCCTCAAAGAGCTTCCTGTGCTTCTCCTGAGTCTCCAGCTCCTTCCTTCGGTCTTCCTCTTGTGACGCCACCTCCTACCACAAAAGAGGCCAGGCTTCGTACTGCCGGGTCCGCCTGCACCCCCACTGGAGGAGAGGGGGTGGAGGTGATCCCATCCAGCTTCCTTCTAGATCCCTTAGGCCAAAGTGGGCAGCTCCAACACCCTCCCCACCTATCTCTGTCTGGAAGCAGCGCAGTCCTCACCCCATCAACAGGAAACTCATCCATCTCGGCCTCCTCCTCTGTGGCAGGCACCACCACACGGGCCAGGCTGGCACTGAGGGCAGCCAGTTTCTACAGGAAAGAAACAGGGTCCCTACTTGCAGGTGGGGGACATTTCTGGGTGGGGTGCCAGGGTGGGGGAGAAGCAGTATAACAGTACTGGGTTTGGGCTCCAAGGGCAAGCTCTGATAACACCCATCTAGCCACAACTGCCACCCAACCCCAGGCCAGGCCCCGAGACATGTTGGGGACAGGGATCACCTTTGGGGAGATGCAGGACTGATGCCCCTGAAGCTGCCCTCACCTCCACAGAGCTCTCAGAGTCCAGCGCGTACGCGCCCTCACTGGCCTTCAGCTCAGCATGGGTCTGTCCCTCGAGCTGGGAGCAGGGAAAGGTCAGAGGGGAATGAGGACATCCACAGTCTGTCACCTCCACGTGGAGACAGAAGACCCCTCACCACCAAGGCCCTGGGTTCTGAGGAGAAGGTGCTGGGCTGTGACCCTACCTTGGGGGGGTAGTGGAGGTTGAGGGACTGGTAGAGGCGGAAGTTGACGAAGCCCAGCAGGGTGGTATAGAACTCAGTGAAGGTGGCCATGACCCTGTAGTCCACGTCTGTTGGGTGCTGAGGGCACAGGAGGAGCGTCAGCAGTGTGGGTGCGGTGTGGGGCAAAGGAGGAACTGACAACCCACACAGGGCCAGGGTCTGGTCGACCAGAGGACCATGGGCTCAAGAGCGGCTCTGCCCACAAAGCTCTGCCCCCAAGGAAAGGGTGGAATGCCATGTCCCCACTCAGAGGCATTCAGGCACAAGTGAGGCTCTATACAGGAGTCTCAAGGATTAGGGGCATCCTGGAGACCTGCACCAGACCCCATGACATGAAGGGGAGCTACGAGTGAGAAGAGGGAAGTCCTTGGACCTGCTGTTCCCATGACTGGCTGTCCCCGCCACCCTGGCTCTCCCCCCATCCTTTAAGTCTCGGCTTAGACATCTGTCCTTAGAGAGGGTGCCTTCCCTGACCACTCCAGGCAGAGCTCAGGCCTTCTCCGTTACCTCCCCCTTTCTCTGTGGAACCTCTGCCTCCAGGGCCAGACTGACCACGGAGGGCAGCACTCCCAGAGCCCAGCACCATCCCTGGCCTGAGGAGGCTGCAGCTGGCCCAGGTGGCCCTGGAGCAGTCCCCCTCTGCCTGAGGGGAACTGTGGGTAGACAGGCCTCACCCCTCCACACCCTGGCAGAAGTAATGAGTGGACACTTGGAACTCAGTGATCCACCCCAGGCCCAAGCCAGAGACAAAGGCACAGCCCTAGGGTCCAGGATAGGCTGGGGTGGCCTGGCCCCCAGGGGGCCGTTGGGCAAGGGAGGCACAGAGGCTGCCTGCTAGGTCTTGGCCCTCCATGAGCTGATCCGAGACTAGACCAAAGTGCCTCCGCTCCCGAACAGTGCTGTCATCTACATCGGGAAGGCTGACTGGCCCTGCTGGCCCCGGGACCTGGACGGGAGAATGTGCTGAGCAATGGAAAAGACTGGTAATGATCACAGGAGCTGGTCTGTGCTGGACGTACCGTGACTGGGAGCTGTTTCTCCACCCTGGGGCCACGAGGTGCCTGCCTTCCCCTGCTCCCACCTCCATCCTGCACGAGCATCTGCCCTGGAGGACCTTGCTGGGCATTTGAACACCAGCCCTGCTTCTCACAGGACAGCACTGAGGAGGGCATTCCCCACCCACTACCAGCCTGGGTTCCCAAGTGACCACAACCAGGGCCTCTGCTACTCTCCAGTTCTGCTCCCCCATTCTCTTGCTGAGAGGAAGGAGTGGCAGGGAGCTGGTCAGGGAGGAAGGAGGCATGGGTGGCTACTCCCTTCCCCCAGGGCCAGCTGTGTGGTGGCCCTATTCACACACAAAGAGGAGTCTGAGCAGCACAGGGGTGGGGCATCCAAGAGAAGATAGGAGGAGGGCCAGAGAGGAAGGAGGGGAGGAAAAAAGAAGGAAGGGAGGGGTAAGGAGGGGAAGAGAGAACCACAGGTGCTCACATCTGCCCCCTCAGTGGGAACACAGACTGGACTGCCAAGGTGTCATGCCCACCTCTCACCTACAGATGGACTGCAGCCTCCCCACCAGACACCCACACGGCCGCATAGCAGCCAGAGTGGGGTGTGGCCCTCATACGCCCACCAGCCCTGGGTAATGGGGAGCAGCCATGGGGCCTAGACCTTGCCTCCCCCTGGAGTATCTAATAACCTGGTCAGCAAACCCACTGTCAGCCAGGCCTGCAGCACTGGCTCTCCACTAAAGGCACCAGTGCTTGCCCACAGAACAAGCAGGAAGTTGGGCCAAATGCAGGCCCATGGAATGAGAAGCCAGGCAGTGAGCCAGGTTACAGAGGCAAGAACAGGACTTTTTTCAATGGACCCCTGCCAACAACACCCATGCTTTCTTAAAAGATAAATAAGAAGCAGCGCCCCTTGCTAGGTGCTTCTCTTGTGCTCCTCCCTCCACAGCCAGAGCTCACCAGTCCTCCTCCTGGTGGTGCTGCGGGGGCGGGGGTGCAGGGCAGAGCAGAGTGGGGATCAGGGCCCCAGTACACCAGCTACAGGCTGGGCTCTGGCACCTGTCCAGAGTGCACACAGCACTCAGTCCCACTAGCCGCTCTCGCTGTCCATTCAGCACCCCAACGGGCCAAGCACCGGGCACTTTCACCCATCAAGTGGTGCTCACACTCTTAATTACAACCAGGGCTTCGAAGAGGTTCGAACCAGTTCAGTCATGGCCAACAAAGCCAAATGGAAACAGACCTGAATTGTGAAAATTTGGGTGATCAAGAATGATAACCTGAATGGGAAAAATTATGGGTTGAAGCCCTGGAATGAGAGATTGGAAGAGGCATATAAGCCCTTTCAGGAGCCAGATGTGTGACACTGGATTACTGCCAGGACTGAGGTCAGCCACCATCCTTGAGTGGGTCGCCAGTTTCGAACTCTGTGCAAAATCCGACGGGCAAGAGATTTGGCAGCTATGCAAAGCGTACACTGCTGGCTTTCGGAGGGAGAGATTAAGTTTCTAGCAGCGCTTTGACCTGTATCTTTTCCTGTTCTGGTTATAGTCCTCGTTCACCCACATTTTAAAATTTTGGGTCTGTTCCAGTGCTTCTTCTTTGGCCACAATCAAACCAGGAACAACCAGTTCAACACCCTGACTACAACACTGCATAGTACACTCTGCACCTCGGCCAACAAGTAGGAACCGAGCACACACTGGACTCCATAGGATAGCACAGTCCCCCCTCCCACCCACCCTGATCTTGTCCAGCAGCCAGGAGAGGAAGCGACAGCCTGGCGCAGCCCCTCCCCACAGGTGCACTCACGTCATGGGAGAAGGCGTAGGGCGTGATCCACACGATGGGCTGCCCCAGCACCTCAGCCTGGTAGTAAATGCCTTTGATGGACAGGAAGACCTGGGGGGACAGTAGGCCTGCTGAAGACCAGGTGGCAGGGGCAGGGTGGTGGTGGGACCCCCGGAAGTGGCTGTGGCTCACCTTGCGCAGGGCACGCGCGGCAATGATGTAATGCAGGAACTCCACGGTGAGCCGGCGGCACAGCTGGATGGTCTGCACGTGGCACTTGCCAGTGCGGGGGAAGGTAGAGAAGAGGAAGCACATGGAAAGGGCATCATCCAGATCCCGCAGGGCATCAATGAAGGTGGGGTATCTGCATGGTGGGGGCAATGCTCACAGGCTTGGTCACCTGCCAGCCACCCCAGAGGTTACCGTTCTCCAAGCCAGGACTTATCGCCGCCACCTCCTGAACAGAAGGCCAGGCAGTTCCCAGAGAGGCCTGAGGACCTTGGGACAGCCCTAGGAGGAACCACCATCCAGGCTGTGCCACTGAGCTCTGCATATCAGACAAACCCCAACAGGGGCCTCAGAACCTCACTGCCCACTGAGTGCCCAGCCTGAAGCTCTCGCCATGCTTTGTGATGGAAGAGGAGAGACCGGGTCAGAGGCTCTCTACTCTTTTAAGGTGGAACCTTTACTTCAGAGAAAATCTACCCAGACATCCAAGACATAAAACAGAAAAACAAGAAGCTGCCCTAGTAGAGCCAGGTGGAGGCAGGGTCCTTCCTCCCTCAGGTCATTGTCCCTGTCTCTCATCACCCAGTCTGTCTAGTTTGTGAACTAAGCAGAACCAGGTGGTAAAAATGCTCTAATTGGTCCTAGGCCAGGAAGACCCAGAGCAAGAAAGTGCTTCCAGGAATCCCGTGGTAACTGAGGAAGCCAGCAGAACAAGCCAGCCTGGCGGACCCACTACTGCACAGCTGCCCCCTGAGGAGCGAGGGGGCCAGGGACACAAAACTGGACTGTGAGTGACAAGACCCATATTCCAGCCCCAGCTCTGGCCTGTGATCCAGAGCAGGTCACTTTGCTCTCCTGACCTCAGTGTCTTTATCTGGAAAATGTCATGAGAGCAGACTGCTGGTTTCAAACTGGGCTCTTGGAACTCTCCCTGGAAATGCCTGGGGGACAAGGGGGCAGACAGGGCTCCAAGTCTCCCTCTCCCAACCGGAGTGGCTTCCAGAAATGCCTTCCGAGGAAGCTTTATTTTGAACAAAGGGCTGTGCTGCCTCACAAAAGTACTCCGAAAGTGAGGGGCCCAGAGACCACCACGGTCCTTCCGGCTCTGGATGGTGTGACTCACTGCAACAAGTCAGGCAGGGTCTGTCCTGTCTTCAACCCAGGAAGATGGCAGAGGGGCTTTCCACCACCTCTCGAGACAACAGAAGGAGCGTTCTAGCTTCCTGGTGCAGAGGTGGGAACTACATGACCCCAAGGCTTCACCATCCCCTAATTCTACACACTCACAGGCAAACCCAATAACCCAGCTCTTTGTAGAAATGGCTTCAGCCCTTTCTGGGCCATTTCCGGGCTTTTCTTCCCTAAGCTCAGGTTACGGGGGTGCCACAGAATGGGACCACCACCACCTGGTGTGTGTGTGTGAATCCAGGCACTTTTTCCAAAGTGCTTTTTTCTTTTGCATTTTTTTCTCCATTTGTTTCACACAACAGCTGTGTGTCAGAGGCAAGACAAAAATTACCATCATCTCTGTTAGAGACAAGGACTCCCTCAGAACAGGAACTGTCCTCTGGCTGCTCAGCTCACAGGCTACAGAGCTGGAGTGAGAACACCAGCTGTCTAATTCTTCCCGTGGGAGCCCAGGGTAGGGCAGCCTGACTCAACGAAGCCCAGTCTACCCACCCGGGAGCCAAATGGTCCTGGGCCATCAGCCCAAGAGAAAATGGACATTCACCTAGCCCAGAGGGTCTGAACCTTTGTACTACTGACATTTTGGGCTAGAGAGTTCTTTGCAGCGGGAGCTGTCCTGTGCGTTGTAGGTTCTTTAGCAGTACCACAGCTTCTACGCACTGGATGCCAGCAGCATCCTCATTCCAATCTTAACCCAAAATGTACTCCGACATTACTAAGTGTCCCCTTGGGAGCAAAACTGCCGCTGGTTGAAAACCACCGATTTAGCCAATGAACGAGGGGGACTCCAGAGAAAGTTGGGCAGGAAAGGGTTAAGGCCACAGAGGTGTCCCATCACATCCCTCACGTCTGCCATGCACCCAGCACGCACCCCAGAGCTCTCTCCCACCTCAGGGCCTTTGCACTTGCTGTTTCCTATGCTTGGCACATACTGGCTCAAACATCTCCCCTCCAACAGACCTTCTCTGACGGGCCCACCCCCCAGGCGCCTTCATACAGTTTGCACCCCTCATGGCCCTCACTGTGTCTTACAATCATTATAGTGATTTACTAGTTTGTTTTTTGGTCTGCTTCCTCCAAAAGGGTCCCAGCTCCTTGAGCAGGGTCTTGGTCTTGTCCCCCCAGGCCTGGGACAGAGCCCAGCAGTGAACGGAAAGACAGCAGTGTTCTGAAGGCACCCAGCTCACCGCTCCTTGATGATGTGGTCAAGTTTATAGTTGGGCTTGTTGTCCTTCAGACGTTCCACGGTGTTCCACTCGCCCTTCCCATAGGCCTTCCGGAGCTTCCGGACAAACACCTGGAAGAGAGGAAGAGACTGCTGAAGCCAGGGCCATGGAGCTCCTGGACTCCCCTCCTCCATGGAGGATGGAGGCACGGGTAGGACTCTCAAAGCTTCCTGAAGCTAGCCAGCACCCTCAGCCCAGGGTTTACGAGACCACCAACTCCAAGGACAGCAAGACTGACCCATTCTAAAGAGCAACGAGATCAACACACCCCTTTGACCGTGAGAACCACTCACAGCCGTTGTCACGCTTGGCCTTTACAAAGTCAGAGTCCACACATTCATGTCTGAGAAAGGCAGGGCACATCAGTCCCCCTCTCTATCTGAGAAGACAGGTCAAGGAGCCTGTCAGTGAGGCAGAGCAGGGTCAGGGTCTGGCGCCTGACCTCAACACCAGCCTGCACAGCCATGAACAAGCTGTGGTTTGTGTGTGGCTGGGTCACACAGGCAAGCACAGCTGGGGCCAGTTGTGCAGCCAGACAGTCCCTATACCAACTGACTTCTTCCTTCCCAGTACTTCTAGCAGCAGAGCTGGGACAGCCACCTCCCACAAAGGGTCAACTCCCAACTCGGTGTGTTTATGTAGTTGCAAGACCCAGCAGCAAAATAGGACCAGACACCCTCTCCCAGCATGCTTGGCCAGCTGGGATGGCAGCAGCTGCTGGCCAGCCTCTGTGGGCCACCAGGTGGCACCCCACCCCTCCAGTGAGGGCCTGGCCTGCTCCTGGCCAAGGCTTTAGCAGCAGCAGGCTACTTTCAATTATTTGCACTTGGCATAAATAGGTTTCTACTTTCCCTGTGGTATTTAAGCATTTAATGACTTCTACTTGTGAAATGAAAGGCTTGGCCTCCTGGGAGCAATTTCAGAAATATTCATAACAGGAGCTATTTCTTTTGGCAGAGAGCACATGGAGCTTCTGAAATTATACCACCTTTGTTTCAGAGCCAAAACACTTTTCAGAAAGAACCAGGGAAAAGTTACCACAGGTAAAGCACTATCATTTGCCAAGGTCTGTGCAAATGATTTCCACACACATAGTCAGGCGACCTTTATGACATCCCTTTGAGGTAGAATGATCTTCTCCCTTGGATGGGCTCACTCAGAGAGATTAAGTAACCTGCTTAAGGTCATAGTCAGTGGGTCACGAGCTTGATGGGGACCTGTCCTGACCCCTGAGCCCAGGCCTCACCTTGTATTCTCGGAACTTGTTGACAATGGGTTCATGGAGGAGGAATCTGATGTCTTTGATAAGGTAGAAGGTCCGTGCTGCCGTGGAGCCCTTGTTAACCTTCTTCTTGTGTTTGGGCTCATGGGGATAAATTCCCTTCAGGATGCACAGCCGCCTGGAAGACAGAAGCCATTCGTTCTGACAGTAAATGCACTGTCACTGGTTGTGGCCGGGCCTGGAAAACAACAGGAACAGGGAGCACGAGGCCCCTGCACTCAGAGGACTCACATTCTAGAGCAGCAGTAGGAAAAGTTCCAAAAAAACAGAATGCAGACTGTCACACACCAGAAAGGAAACACACAGGACACTGAGAGGGGCCGACGGGCAGGGACCCCCTTTACTAGGTGAGTCGGGAAAAGTCTTGCTGAGAAAGTGACAATTCAACAGACCTAAGGAGAAAGAATCAGCCATGGAAAAAGAAGAGGGAAGAATACTGACTGCCTGACTCATTTATTCCTTTACCCTTTGTTATGAACTGAACTGAGTTCCCTAAAAAGATACGTTGGGCTCCTGACCTCTGTCAGGACTCCCTCTGAACAGGAACTGTGAATGTGATCTTTTCTGGAAATAGGATCTTTGGAGGTGTTATCTGATAAGTTAACATGGTGTCATACTGGAGCAGGGTGGGTCCTAAATCTGTGTGACTGGTGTCTTATAAAAGAGAAGATACACAGAGAGAAACAGAGGAGACAGCTATGTGAACACAGAGGCAGAGTCTAGCAGCCAAGAACACCAAGGATGGATGGAGGCCACCAGAAGGTAGGAGAGGCATGGAACTGATTCTCTCTCAGAGCTCTAAGGAGGACCCAACATGGCAGACACCCTGATTTGGATTTCCAGTATCCAGAACTGTGAAACAATAAAATTCTGTTCTTATAAGCCAAAAAAAAAAAAAAGAGGAGGAGGAAGAGCATCCTAAGACTGGTGACAATGGCTGTAAGGCTGGAAAGCGCTGGGTGGATCTGAAGAACTAAAAGTGGGCCAGGTGGCTAGAATACAGCCTGAGGCGGCTGCAGAAGTCAGAGACGGCCAGATCGCAGGGCCCACAGGCTGGAGGGGTCTGGATTTGATTTTCTCAGGAATGGGCACTGCTAGCTGGAAGATCAGAAGTCTCTCCTGCAGAAGGGAATGTGCGGTGCACCCCTAGCCCAATGGGCCCCATTCTGATGACCTCAGGGCTCCATCACCCAGTTCTCCAGATTCCCATCAGACCACATCTGGCAAAGCACAACTCACTAAAGCCAGCTGGGCGAGAAAGCGGAGGACTACCAGAATGCCCAAAGCATTTGGGCGGCTCAGTAAGTCGGCTGCGATGCATGACAGGTTGAGTTTTCACTGTGCATTCCCTGCCCGCGCACCCCAAGGGCCCTCTCTGCAGTCCTCTCGACCTCACCTGAAGTCGGCCAGGCTCAGCTGCAGCTTCTTTCGGGCTTTGTTTCGGGTGATGTAGTTGGTGGCAGAGCCTCGTTCATACTTAAGGAAGAAGAAAACAAATCTTCATTAGCAATAATTTCAGCGACTGACATCAAACTTTGGGCAGGCCTTGTTCCAGAGGCAACTAACACTCCAGCGAAGTGGTCGAAGTGCTTCTGAGATGGAAAGGCTGTAGGGAGAGAGCCTCCCGACTGAAAGAGCAACCCTGCACTGTCCTTGCAGCTGTCGGTGTAGAGGACACATACATCTGCAAAGCACAATGCTGGGGACCGTGAGGTTGCTATGTATCAGGTGCTGTGCCTTACACTCAGTACTAGCTCTAAGTTTTGGCTATTACGATGACCTGTTTCCATGCATTATTTCATTGAATCTCCACATCCCTGTGAGGCGGATGCCATTATAACCCACCTACCTCCTCCATTTCACATGGGAGGAAAGAGGTTCAAAAAACCCAAAACCAAACCCACTGCCATTAAGTCGATTCAGACTCATAGCGACGCTACAGAACAAAGTAGAACTATTCCGCAGGGTTTCCAAGCTGTAATCTTTACAAAAGCAAACTGCCAGATCTTTCTCCTGTGGAGTGCCTGGCAGGCTCAAACCTCTGGGTTAGCAGCCGAGCGCTTAACCACTGCACCATGAGGGCGCCTTATGAAAGAGGCTTAGCAATGTTAAATAACCTGCCCAAGTCACATAGCTTTTTAAGGGCTGAAGCTGGGATTCAAACAAGCTTGACTCCAGTCTGAACTCCTAAGCACGAAGCCAGGATTTCTCAACCTCCTTTTCACTATTACTCCCTTTCCCCCAGCCTCAAAGACTCATGTAATTTTAATACTACAGATTTCCTGTATATTTGTTTATGTAATGTGAGCCTTTAGAAGACCATAAATCATTGTAGTATCTAAAATTCCCTCCCCCAGAACCAATTTTTGCTCCCTTGAGGGTGGTAATGCTCGGCTTGAGAATCCACACAGCGCCTCCCTTTCCTCATTCATTCATTCAACAGACTATAACAGGACCTCTACTACAGTCAAAACATTAAGCCAGATGCTACGGGGGCAATTAAGGCAAAAGGCCTGGTCTCTACCTGCCTCAAGATGTATATTGTTTTGTGCAACCATCTGGGTGTCTGCGGTGCTAAGATGTTGCCTCACACTCACATCTCTGTATCCCTGATAGAGTAGCAGTGTCTTGTACCACGCACCTTGGAATGCTGACCAAGCACGTCCTTTCCAAACAAGCTCTCCTTCTAGAGCAAGACAGCAAGGGCCTCTATGGCCAGGACCAGCTCTAAAGAGACAAACCTAGAATCTCCAGAGGGGTATGTCCATGAATAACTCTAGCCTCGAAACAGGCCCTTCACTCTTTCTTTCCTTCAGACATTTATGAATTGTCTATTGTGGATCAGGCCCATGCTAAGTCCTGGGGACACAAAGATGGGTTTCGGATTGTCTCAGGATGGTACGTCTTCATTAAAAGTGCCTTCCGTTGCCCTATACCATATATACCTGTCACCAGACTTATCCTTTTAAAAATTAAAGAAATAAATGGTTCTCAACCTAGGTGATTGTGCTCCTGGGGGATGGGGTGCAATTTGGCAATGTCTGCAGACATTTTTGGTTATTGCGTGCTACTGACATTCAGCGGGCAGAAGTCAGGGATGCTGCTAAACATTCTAAAATCTACAGGACAGACTCCCTCCCTCCCTCCTCCTACCAAAATAAAGAATTATCTGGTCCAAAATGTCAAACTGGTTGCAAAACCCGGCTTTAAAGAACAGTAATGATACGCTTACGTATCTCCATCTCCACCTCAAGGGCAAGGTTTTCTGTTTTATGTCTTTGTAGTGTCAAATGACTAGCACTTATGGATATTCAAATAAATATGTTGGATGAAAAACAAAAACAGTACTAGAAGCTTTCCAGCTGAAGGAAATACTTAACCCAACTACATCTTCCTCACTCCTACCCCCTCGCTAATTTCTTCATGCCACCGGAGGAGATTCTTCTTACAGCAGCAAGAACAATTCCTTGAAAAACTCTGATCATGTTGTTCCCCTTTAGTTGCTTCCTACTGTACTCAGAATAAAGTCTAAGCTCCTCACCACGGCTTACAAGGCCTTGCATGATTCCAGCACTGCCTAACCCCAACCTCACCCAGTGCTCTTCCCTTGGTTTGGTATATCCCAGTCATCCAGATGTCCTTCCAGTTTCTTGCAGAGTAAACCTTTCCCACTTGCAACTGGCACTTGCAATTTCCCCTGCCAAGCTTGTTCACTAACCACTCTCACGTCCCAGAACCGATCCAAGGTTAGATCTGCTCTTTCAGACTTCAGCTGAAATGTTACCGCCTCAGAGAGAGACTTTCTAAGACAACGCCAACTAAAACAAACACCCTTTTATGTTCTCCAGCCTTATCCCTTGTTTACTTCCTTCACAGTAACAAGCTGTGATAACTTTATTTGGTTGTTTACTTTTGTATCCATCTTCCCACTAGAGAGTGAGCTCAGGAAAACAAGAACTACATCTGATTGTTCACGTCTCCCTCCGCAATGCCCAGGAGAGGGTCTGATTCAATGGGAAAAAGAACAGTAAGTCTTCTTGTTCTTATTAGATGCCGTAGAGCCGGCTCCGACTCATAGAGATCTTAGGCCAAACAAGCCTAAGAGATGATCTCGATGTAATGTTTATCACCCAGGAAATAGTCGTCTCTCGGCTCGGTCTGCTTTTCTGAAGCTTTGCTGTCTCACAGCCCACTCCAGGGTTCTTCCCCGGATTTTACCATCAGACGAGCACTGCCGTCCTCACCTGTCCTCGGACCACACTCACGGCTGCCTCCCCTCGCGTTGATCCGTTCCGTTTCTCTTCCCACGAGGGGCCAAGACCGTGGAAAGGCACCGTCCCCAAGTTCGGTCGCCCCCATCGGCCACCACCCAGGCGCCCCTGACGTCTCTCCTACTCACCTTCTTTTTCTCCAGGCCTCCCATGGCTCCACGTTGAGGAGCCTACGAGCGCCGCGCGGACAGACAACGCCACTTCCTTCCGCACGTGCCCGGCCTAAGTCCCCGAGGACCCCACGAAGCAGGTCTCCGCGGGCTGTCCAATGAGGCGCCCGCGAAAGTCCAGAGGAAAATAGGGGTTTCCTCCTCGAGATTTACAACTAAGCGCTCTAGAAAAACCACTAAGGCAGATATTCTGAGCTCTTTCCCACAGGTGAGCCTACTTCAAACAATTTAAAAGTTTAAATGGATAAGGATCTTTAGGCATTTCTATAATTACCCTACAGAAAATCGCTTGACGTTTGGGCCCCGTTGCATCTTGGGATAGAGGGAGGCGGAAGTCTTAGAGACCGCGCAGTGCCTTCTGGGATGCACAGCTGAGCCACGCTCAGTGTGGGGTGGGCTGAAGTTGCGTTGTCCTGGTAACGGTTGCTAAGCGCCGTACGAACCTACCCCATCCGGCGGAGGAGCGTTCGCTGGCCGCTTAGGGCCGGATTGAGGCTGCTGCCCTAGGTTAGCTGCCAGCCTTGGTCTGCTTTGAGTCACTCGCTCTTATGAGGATAAACTAGAACAAAGGTAGATATTTTCCCTCACAGAGGTAGAAAGATCCAAAGGGCCGCTTACGTTTTCTGAGTCTTAGCGGTAATTGAAGAACGATGAAAGGCCAAGCTGAGTTACAGAAATCGTGGTGTATTTTAAATGTACATTTAAACACACTCGAGCTTTTAATATATACACACAAAAATATGTACGTAAATTTGTACATACATTTTGTGCTCCGCTATTCGCACCACCTGCAGGTGGTGTGGCCTGGATGTAATTTTAAAGCTGTTTGATGTTTCCTTCCTTCGCGTCTCCAAACTCCATTTGGAGATGGCCTCAAAAGTCTAAATTTGAGGCCCTTGTGAATGTGACCTCCACCAAGGTCTTGGTCATAGAAAATACCATTTGGAAGTGGAGACAGACTTTAAGCACCGGTGAATGCTTGTTTTGAACTATGTATGTGACTTTTATTATTTAATAAAGCTAAAAGAAGCTCAGCGATTCCACCAACAATGAGATAAAACAAAAACCAGGCAGGAGAGGGTGAGCTGGCAAAGACTTTGAAAGAACTCGCCGAAGAGATTTAAAGAAAACCAGGGAAAAATGGTGCTCACAGCAGAAAACAGAAGAGAGTGTTTCAAGAAGGGCCTCAGGGAAAGCAGAGTGAGGCTGGTAAAGAGGAAGAGGCAAGAGAGCACCCAGGCCAGAGGCAAAAGTTTGGGGGATTTACAGAACTGTGAAAAGTCCATTATGACTGGAGCGTAGAGGGTGCATAGGGCAAGAGGTAAACGGGGACCACAGAAGGATGTAGGCTGACTCATAAAAGGAACACAGGAGCAGGATGGGTTTCATGGGTGTGGAACCTGTGCAGTTGCACATGACTCTGTGCTTAGAAGGGCCCCTGTGCTTGGTTTAATGCTCTGCTGCCACTGTCTTGAAATTGTTAATTTTTAAACAAAGGGCCCTGCGTTTTCATTTCGCACTGGTCCCTGCAAATCATGTAGCTGGTCCTACATACCCATTGATGTCCAGTTGATTCTGACTCACAGCAACCCTATAGGCCAGAGTAGAACTGCCCCATAGGGTTTCCAAAGAGCAACTGGTGGATTCAAACTGCCAACCTTTGGGTTAGCAGCTGTAGCTCTCCACCACTGCACCACCAGGGCTCCAGTCCTACATAGGAGGACTGAATTTGTGGAAAGAAGATGAACCCTTGAGGGGTCGGTGGAGAACAGAAAGAGGTGTCCAGAGAAAATTTGTGTATTCAGTTCAGGAGCTCAAAACAGAGTTAGTGTTTTACAGGCGAGAAAACTGAGGCTCAGGAAAGTGAAGACTTGCCCAGTTGTCATTCAGCTGCTAAGTAGTGGAGAATGGATTCTCACCAGACAGTTGGGTTACAGAACCTGCTGCTGAACTCACACTCAGCGTGAAACACTTAGTCCCCTCCTCTCCGTCTTGGAAGACTGTTGTGTGGCTCCAGGAAAATTCAAGGCAAATTTTTGTTCCATAAGGGGAAGAGATTTATGACAAAGACTTGTACACGAATCTTCTTGGAAGCTTTATTTGTAACAGCCCATAACAGGAAATACCCAAATATCCAAGTGAATGGATAAGCAAATTGTAGTACCACACATTGGAATATTGTTGTTGGGTGCATTCGAGTAGATTCCAACTCATAGCTACAGCATGTGACAGAATATAACTGCCCCATAGGATTTTCTAGGTGGTAATCTTTAAGGAAGCAAATAGCCAGGTCTTTCTCCTACAGAATGCTGGTTTCAGATAGCAGCTGAGCACTTAACCTTTGCACTACCAGGGCTCCTTAACAGAAAATATTAGTCAGCAATAAAAAGGAATGAAGTACACATACATGGTATAACATGGATGAATTCCAAAACAATTATACTGAATGAAAGAAGTCAGACAAAAACCAGTACATACTGAATGATTACATTTATGTAAGATTCTGTTGTTGCCATTAGGCACCATAGAGTAGGTTCTGACTCATACCAATTGATGTACAACAGAACGAAGCACTGCATGGTCCTGTGCCATTCTCATAATTGTTATGGTTGAGCTCATTGTTGCAGCCACTGTGTTAATCCATCTCGTTGAGGGTCTTCCTCTTTTTCACTGACTCTCTACCAAGGATGATGTTCTTCTCCAGGGACTGATCCCTCCTGATAACATGTCCAAAGTAGGTGAGATTAAGTCTCTCCATCCTCGCTTCTAAGGAGCATTCTGGCTGTACTTCTTCCAAGGCAGATTTGCTCGTTCTTCTGGCAATCCATGGTATATTCAATATTGTTTGCCAACATCATAAGTCAAACGCGTCAATTCTTCTTCAGTCTTTCTTATTCATTGTCCAGCTTTCGCATGCATATGAGGCAATTGAAAACACCATGGTTTGGGCAAGGTGCAACTTAGTCCTTAAAGTGACTTTTTTTTTTTTTTTTTTAACACTTTAAAGAGGTCTTTTGCAGCAGATTTGCCCAATGCAATATGTCATTTGATTTCTTGACTGCTGCTTCCATGAATGTTGACTGTGGATCCAAGTAAAATGAAACCCTCGACAACTTCAATCTTTTCTCCATTTATCATGATGTTACTTATTCGTCCAGTTGTATTTTTGTTTTATGTTGAAGTGTAATCCATACTGAAGGCTGTAGTGTTTGATCTTCATCAGTAAGTGCTTCAAGTGCTCTTCACTTTCTGCAAGCAAGGTTGTGTCATCTGCATATCGCAGGTGGTTAATGAGTCTTCCTCCAATCCTGATGCCACATTCTTCTTCATATGGTCCAGCTTCTCAGATTGTTTGCTCAGTGTACAGATTTGAGTAAGTGTGGTGAAAGGATACAACTCTGATGCACACTTCTTCTGACTTTAAACCACACAGTGTCCCCTTGTTCTGTTTGAACCGCTGCCTCTTGGTCTATGTACAGGTTTCTCATGAGCACAAAGTGTTCTGAAATTCCCATTCTTCACCATGTTACCCATAATTTGTTATGATCCACACAGTCGAATGCCTTTGCATAGTCAATAAAACACAGGCAAACATCTTTCTGGTATTCTCTGCTTTCAGCCAGGATCCATCTGACATCAGCAAAGATATCCCTCGTTCCACATCCTCTCTGAATCTGGCTTGAATTTCTGGCAGTTCTTGATGTATGGCTGCAACCACTTTTTTTTATTGTACTTTAGGTGAAGGTTTACAGAACAAATAGTTCCTCACTAAACAGTCAGTACACATATTATGACGTTGGTTAACAACCCCACGACATGGCAACCCTCTCCCTTCTCCCTTCTCGACCTTTTTTTTTTTTTTTTTGAAAACATACATAGCCAAAGATACACCATTTCAAAAATTTCTACATGCACAATTCAGTGACATTGGTTACGTTCTTCCAGTTGTGCTGCTATTCTCACTTTAGATGAAGGTTTACAGAACAAAATAGTTTCTCATTAAACAGTTAATACACATGTTGCCCTATGACGATCATTAACAACCCCTGCAACCACTTTTGGTTGGAATGGTATTTTGGAATGGTATTTAGCATAATTGTACTTACGTGTGATTTTAATGATATTTTTCGATGATTTCTGCATTCAATTGGATCACCTTTTTTTTGAATAGGCATAAATATGAATCTCTTCCAGTCGGTTGGCCAGGTAGCTGTCTTCCAAATTTCTTGGCATATACGAGTGAGCACTTCCAGCCCTGCATCCATTTGTTGAAACATGTCAATAGGTATTCCGTCAATTCCTGGAGCCTTGTTTTTTGCCAATGCCATCAGTGCAGCTTGGACTTCTTCCTTCAGTCCCAGTGGTTCCTGATCATATGCTCCCTCCTGAAATGGTTAAACATTGACCAATTCTTTTTGGTACGGTGACTCTGTGTATTTCTTCCATCTTCTTTTGATGCTTCATGTATTGTTCAACATTTTGCCCATAGAATCCTTCAATAATGCAACTCGAGGCTTGAATTTTTTCTTCAGTTCTTTCAGCTTGAGAAACGCTGAGCATGCGCTTCCCTTTTGGTTTTCTAACTCCAGGTCTTTGCACATGTCATTATAATACTTTACTTTGTCTTCTTGAGCTGCCCTTTGAAATCTGCCATTCAACTCTTTTACTGCATCATTTCTTCCGTTTGCTTTAGCTACTTGATGTTCAAGAGCAAGTTTCAGAGTCTCTTCTGACATCCATTTTGGTCTTTTCTTTCTTTCCTGTCTAAAAAGACATTAAAAAATGACCTCTTGCTTTCTTCATGTATAATGTCTTTGATGTCATTCCACAATTCATCAGGTCTTTGGTCATTAGTGTTCAATGTGTCAAATCTATTCTTGAGATGGTGTCTAAATTCAGATGGAATATACTCAAGGTAGTACTTTGACTCTCGTGGACCTATTCTAATTTTCTTCAGCTTCAACTTGAACTTGCATATGAGCAATTGAATGGTTTTTTTCTGCAGTTGGTCCCCAGCCTTGTTCTGATTGATGATATTGAGCTTTTCCATCATCTCTTTCCACAGATGTAGTCTATTT